AAGGAACAACCAAACTCAACTTTTGTTCGCCAACATGTCGAATTGCGAAAGTGTCGCAGGAATGGGACGGAATGAACCTCGCTTAGGTAACCTTTAAGCGGGTAGTCGCGTCGTACCCATCAAAAACAAAACAAAGTGAGCAACATGGATTTTGTTGTCGCCGACGCTGCGGAAAGTGCATCAAGAATGGGACGGACTGAACATCGATTGGGTAAGCCTAAGCGGGTGATCGCGTCTTACCCATCCCAAAACAATACAATGTCAACGTTTTTTTCGTCAACATGGACTTTTTTGTCGTCGACGCTGTGAAAAGTGTAGGACGAATGGGACGCGGCGCACATCGCGCACGGACGCCTGGCCAACCCTACGCGGGACCCCCCGTCCTACCTGCCCAAAAGAACACAGCAACGTCGACGTTTTTTTTGCCAACATGTACTTTTCTCCTCGTCGGCGCTGCGAATCGCGAAGCCGGAATGGGACGCCCCGCGAACTCCCAAGCGGCATTCTCCTCTTCCTCCTCAGTGTCTCCCTCCCTCCCTCTCTCCCTCCCCTCCTCCTCCTCCTCCTCCTCCTCCTCCTCCTCCTCCTCCTCCTCCTCCTCCTCCTCCTCCTCCTCCTCCTCCTCCTCCCTCCTCCATGCGCGGCAGGAGCGAAACGATTGGCGGTGCAACACGCGTGGCTGGAATGAGACGCGGCGCACTTCGCGCGCTGGACATGTTGCGCCGACGATGCAACATGAGAGGCCGGAGCGGGGCGCGGCGTACATCGCGCGCGGTTTGTTTCTCGTCGACGTTGCTCAACACGCGGCAGGAATAGGACGCAGCTCATGTCGCGCGCTGAACGTCTAGCCGCCCACGGTATAAGATGAGCGACAGGCGTCGGACGCGACGCACTTGCTTCTTATGTTGTGGGAGGGCGGGTGGGAGTGGACGGAGCCCTCTGGCTCGTTCGAGCTGGCTAACTTGACCCTAACCCTACCCCCCCCCCCAAAAAAAAAAAAAAAAAAAAAAAAAAAAAAAAAAAACCTAATACCCGAACCTAAACCCCCTGGCCCTAACCCAGACCTACCCCCCCGACCCTACCACCCGAACCGTTAACCCCCAACCCTAATACTAACATCTTACCCCCTAACCCGAATATTAACCTTATCACCCTAGCCCCAACCCCCTAACCCTAACCCTACCCTGAACACCCGAATCATAACCCTACCACCCTAACCCCAACCCCGAACTCTGACCCTAACACCCTGACCGTAACGCCCGAGCCCTAACACCGCAACCCGAACACTCTCACCACAACCCAACAAATCGAACCCTGACCCTAAAGCCCGAACCCGAACCATATTTCCTAACCCAAAACCCCTAGCCCTAACCCTGTGCATAAAACTCACCCTAAATCGAATCCTAACCCTGAGCTTTAACTGACACCTGAATCCCAGCCCGAACTCTAATCCTGACCCTGATCTCTAGCCCCTAAACCCTGACCCCCGAACCCCGAATTCGAACCCCTAACCCCACATATAACCCTCACCGTAACCCTGAACCTCACCCTACTACCCTAACCCGCACCCCTTAACTCACCAGCCTGAGCCCTATCACCCCAACCCTAAAGCCCGACCCCTAACCGTAGACACAACCCGAAACCGAATCCTACCATTTTAACCCTGAAGCCCATCATCCTCTAACCCCCGAGCCCGAACCCTCATCCTAACCCTGACCCTGACCATAACCCGGTCCCTTTTTAAAAACCGAACCCACGATCCCGAACCCCTACCCAAACACCCTAATCCGAACCCTACCACCCGAATCCGAAACCCATGACGCTAACCATAACACCCCAACCGCAAACCTACCACCCTAACCGTAACCCCCGAACCCGGACCCGAACCCTACCAACCTGATCCTAAACTCCTAGCCCTAACCCTAACCCCGACACCCGAACCTAAACACACGATCCCTAACCCTCACCCTACCCACCCACACACACACATCTACCACCCTAACCTTAACCCCTCTCGCACCTTCGCCCTAACCCTAAGACGCGAATCCTTACTTCCTATGATTAAGCCTCCCCCCCCCCTCCCCACCTAGCCGGCCGATGGCAACCCCGCCGTCCGAACTGTCAAAAAAACAACACACACAACTTTTTCCTCGCCAACACGTCGTCGAATTGCGAAAAATGCATCGAAAATGGGACGGATTGAAATCGCTCGGGTAACCGGAAGCGGGTGGTCGCGTCCTACCCATCACAAAACATTACAAAGTAAACGTCGTCCTCGTCGACATGGACTTTCTTGTCGTCGACGCTGCGAAAAGCGTAGCAAGAATGCAGCGCGGTGCAGAACGCGCGCGGACGCCTGGCCAACCCTACGAGGGACCCCCCGTCCTACCTGCCCAGAAGAAAACAGCAACGTCGACGTTTTCCTTGCCAACATGTACTCTCTCCTCGTCGGCGCTGCGAATCGCGCAGCGGGAATGGGACGCAGCGCACATCGCGCGGGGACGCCTGCTCGCCAACATGGATTTTCTTGTCGTCGACGCTGCGGCCCGTCGGGTTGAAGAGCTGGGCGGGCGGCAAGGTCGGAATGCCTCAAGCAAGTGCGGTTCGCCGCCGGCGCACCCGTTGTCGTGTCTACGTAAGAGAGACCTTTGGCAACAGTGACCTTTGGCAACAGAGACGCGGCGCACTTCGCGCGCTGGACATGTTGTCGCCGACGATGCAACATGAGAGGCCGGAGCGGGGCGCGGCGTACATCGCGCGCGGTTTTGTTTCTCGTCGACGTTGCTCAATATGCGGCAGGAATAGGACGCAGCTCATGTCGCGCGCTGAACGTCTAGCCACCCACAATATAAGATGAGCGACAGGCGTCGGAGGCGACGCACTTTCATCTTATGTTGTGGGAGGGCGGGTGGGAGTGGACGGAGCCCTCTGGCTCGCTCGAGCTGACCAACTTGACCCTAACCCTACCACTCTAACCCTAACCCTACCACCCTAACCCTAACCCCCTGACACGATCACTATCAGCCTAGCCTGAACCCTACCACCCAAACCCGAACCACCTAACCAGAACCCTAACCCCGAACCCTAACCCGAACACCCCCTAACCCTACCCCTAACCCTACCCCTAACACCAGCATCCTAACCCTGACCCGAACACCCTAAGCCTAACGCCTGAAATCGAACATCCTAACCCTGACACTCTCACCCCAACCCAACCACCCTGACCCCGACCCCCAGTCTCTGGCGCATCCCAAGGAAGCGGGAGGCGCACCCCCCCCCCGGTCCGGCGCAACGGGGGGGGGTCCGACCCCCCTCGCCCCGTTGAAAAGGTGGGGGGGTCCGAAATCCTCCGCCGCCCCCCCCCCCCCCATCTCCAGCGCAAAGGGGGGAGGGGGGGGGGTCGAAACCCCTGCCCACCCCTTGAAATGACGGCCTGCCAGACCACCCCAACCCAACCCGAAGACTCGAATTTCGGGTGGGGGGGGACGGATTCCATATGTTTTCTCAATGCTCCCCGACCCCCCACGCTGGAAACGGAGGGCAAATTGAAGCCCTCGGGTTGGGTTGGGATGGTTTGGTATGTGGGATGAGAAGAGTGGGGGGTCCGAAAACACCCCCCCTTTTGAGGGGGGGAGGGGGGGAGTCCCGTAAGCACACAGCCCCCCTGCAATTGCGGGGGTGCCCCCCGGTGGCACGCTCCCTCGATTTCGCGCGCGCACGTTTTGCGCAAGATACGAGACCGATGTTGCATCACAGCAGCAATTCGGCCCCTGACTTTCGTCCTGGATTCGGTTTAGTGAAGTGATGAATTGCGGGGTCCTTACGTGGGAAAAAAACATCACTTCCCTAATCTGGGGCCCCTGGGGCCTCAGTGGGCCCTGGGGCCCAAAATTAGTGAAGTGATGGTTTTCGGGCCTCGGACAAGAGGATCCAGGATGCTCCTGCATGGTCCTCGCCCATCCCCTCCCCCCTTCACAGCACGCACAGCGATGCCAAGCCAGGGTGCCCCCGGAGGACGAAGGCAGCGCGTCGCCGCACGCGGAGCCCCCGCCCGAGTGGCGGGCCCCTGGGGCGCCCGCCTTTCGGCAGTATCGCCCGTCGTCGTCGTCGCCAGTCGTCGTCGTCGTCGTCGTCGTCGTCGTCGTCGTCGTCGTCGTCGTCGTCGTCGCCGCCGCCGCCGCCGTCGTCGTCGTCGTTATCGTCGTCGTCGTCGTCGTCGTCGTCGTCCTCGCCCGTCGTCGTCGTCGTCGCCCGTCGTCCTCGCCCGTCGTCGTCGTCGTCCTCCTCCTCCTCCGAACCCCCACGCCGCTCTCCGAGACGACGACGGGCGAAAAATGCCTGCAGCGACCATTTAGGAGCAGACTTGGGACGGGAGGGTATGTTGCAGCACCGTTGCTGCATCTTGGGCTGCCTCTGGTTCTCTTCCGCCTACCCTTCCTCTTCCTCCTGCTCCTGCTCCTCCTCCTCCTCCTCCACGTCCTCCTCATAATCATCACCATCTTCATCCACCTGCCCCAACCCCCTCCCCTCTACCTTCTCCTCCTCTTCCTCCTCCTCCTCTTCCTCTTCCTCCGCCTCCTCCTCTTCCTCCTCGTCGTCATCGCCTTCTCCTCAAGAGGGTCTGGATCTGGCGGGCGAAGAAATCGGCCCCCGACATCTCAAAAAGGGTGCCTTCTGACCAGAGTTTGGGTGTGGAGCCAGCCGTGGCGACGAGGAAATCGGGGAATGGCCAAAGACGCAACAAAGAGTCGGACCTAGACATACACTCAAACGTCCAGGCACAGCAGGGGCCCGACCACAAGAAGCCTTTCACACGAGACCCAACCCTGAGGCCCCAGGAGGTCTATGGACTTTTGGTTGTGGGGAACGTCACGCTCTCCACAGCAAAACCATCGAAACCCAAGAAACCCAGGGCACCCTGGAGGCAAGCAGGGTGCTGCTTGGCATGGGTCTTCACTGCACTCCTCCCCCTCCTCACGCGTGCTCGTCGTCGTCGCCGCCTCGGCGAGATCGGACAGCGTTGCCGAGGAGCCAGACGCGCCGCCCTGGCGGCGGAGAAGTCGGCCGCGGCCGCGGCGGCCGCGCCCAGAAGGGCGCCCTCCTCTCCCCCTATCGAGGGGGAAGTAGGGGGGGAGGGGCAGGGGTAGGAGGAGGAGAGTAGGAGGGAAAGGAGGATAGAGAGAGGAGGGAGGAGGGGGAAGGGGGAGGGAAAAGAGAAGGAGGAGGAGCAGGAGGACCAGCGTGAACCCAAGACCCATCAACGATCTTGCAATAAACCATCCATCAAAGTTGCCTCTCCATAGACCCCTTCAAGGACTCGGTCTCGCTGAGGGAAGCGCCCCGTTGGAAGCAACCGTCTGAAATCCTGGACTGTGCCAGAACAACCTTCCCAGGACTTCAATACCGCAAATCACCGTTACTGCTGCGTCTTGACAATCCTGAATCGTGCCGGAACACCATTCTTGGGACTTCAACACCACGAATCAACGTAATTGTTGCGTCCTGACAGTCCGACATCGTGCCGAAAAAAAACATTTCTGGGACGGTAACCATGGGGCCCCTTAACAGCTGTGAAGTCTTAAAACGTGCGCGGAGCTAGGGCAAGAGCCACGTGTTGAAAAGAACCACCATCCACCCGTGAAACTCTTCCAAAAATTGAAGACGAATGTGCGCGGCGCTGAAACGAGAACCTCATATTGGAAACGACCCAGCCTCCATCCGTGAATATGATGCAATGTGCGTGGCGCTAAAGAGATGCAACGGCCCAGCCGCCCTCCACCTGTGAAACTCTTGCAAAGGTTTGAGACAAATGTGCGCTGCGCTAAAACGAGAACCACATTTTGAAAACCACCCACCCTCCATCCGTGAAACTCTTCAAAATTCTAAGAGTCATGATGATAAATGGTGGGGATTTCTCAGACGAAACGCCCGGCCCAGCCCTTCGACCAGCCTCGGGGTGCGACAGGGAGGAGTTACTCTTGACGGAAAGGACTTTAGGAGGAGGAGGAGGAGGAGGAGGAGGAGGAGAAGGAGAAGAGGAGGAGAAATGGGAGGAGGGGAAGGAGGAGGAATGCAGCGGAATGCAGGAGGAGGATGAATGCAGGAGGTCGAGGAGAAGGAGGAGGAGAAGGAGGAGGAGGAGGAGAATGAGAAGGAGGAGGAGGAGGAGGAGGGAGGAGGAGGAGGGGAGGGGGAGGGGGAGGAGGAGGGGAGGTTGGGGAGGGGCAGTGGGAGGAGAGGCGCGAGCTCCTGACAGGTAGGAAGATGGAATGAGGGGAGGAGGGAGGAGAGGAAGGAGGAGGGAGGAGGGGAGGAGGAGGGAGGAGGGGAGGAGGGGAGGAGGGGAGGAGGGAGGAGGGAGGGAGGAGCAGAGCAGGGAGGAGGGAGGAGGGAGCAAAGGGAAGAGGGGAGGAGGGAGGAGGGAGGGAGGAAGGAACAGAGGAGGGAGGGGGAGGAGCAGAGGAGGGGCTCTGACAGCCTCCTAGATGGGGCAGGAGCAACTGAAGTCGGACGATATCACTGGATCCCCGATGCATCGGAGTTGCATCGGCGACGTCGGGATGGAAAAAATCAGGCCTCGAGTCGGGCAGTGTCGCCGATGCATCGGCGATGCTGCACGATCCTCCGACCCCCTCTGCCCTGGCCCCATCTGGGAGGCATGGGACACCAAGATCCTGGCGGCACAATCCTGCACACTGGGCGCCTCCGCCAGGTAATCGGGCCCTGCGGGGCCCTCGCCGCAAGGCCCAGCTCGACAGATGCAGCACAACGGTGGGCCTCCTCCTCCTCCTCCTCCTCCTATCCTCCTCCTCCTCGTCCTCCTCCTCCTCTCCTCCTCTCCTCCTCCTCCTCGTCCTCCTCTCCTCCTCCTCCTCTCCTCCTCCTCCCTCCTCCTCCTCCTCCTCCTTCCTCCTCCTCTCCTCCCATCCTCCTCCTCCTCTCCTCTCCCTCCTCATCTCCTCCTCCCTCCTACTCCTCCTCCCCTCCTCCTCCCTCCTCCTCCCTCCTCCTCCTCCTCTCTCCTCCTCCTCCTTCCTCCCTCCTCATCCTCCTCCTTCCTTTGGTCCAGGGACTCGGCTGTGGATCCCTCACGATGCCGTACGTACGTACGCTTGTTCGCAACCATCCGCTCCCAAAGGGAGAGAGAGAGAGAGAGAGAGAGAACAAAAAAGAGAGAGAGAGAGAGCACGGGCTCACCCCGCCAGTCCGACGGGGACCAGCCCTGCGATGGCAGCGCGGGCGGACCGGGGTCCAGAGAGGAGGAGGAGAAGGAGAAGGAGGAGGAGGAGGAGGAGGAGAGGGAGGCGGCGGGAGGAGGAGGGGGAGGGGGAGGAGGAGGCGGCGGAGGCGGAGGAGGAGGAGGAGGAGGAGGAGGAGAAGGACGAGGAGGAGGAGGAGGAGGAGGAGGAGGAGGAGGAGGGAGGAGGAAGGAGGAGTCCCGAAACGGTGCGGAGGCGGACCGTGCGGTGACCTCGAAGTCCCCCAAGGCCTCACCGCACG